ATTTTATTGTATGAAATGAATTGGGGGAAAAAAGAACATTAATAAAAACAAGATAGAAAATACTAATTAATAATATAACATTATAAAGTTAAAGTTATTAAATTCATGTTACAGTATAACGAATGCATCAAGAATTTTATTATTATATGATACAAGATAGAAAATAAGTATATATGAAATTTATAAAACATAAGATAAGATAAGATAAACTTTATTGTCATATTCCAAACAGGAAAACTATGAAATTATACGATCTCAATGCTTGGAACAAACTTACAAACTACTAAAAATCGTATTATTGATTTTTTGAACTAAACCAACATATAGTTCAACAGAGTATGTATTCATGTATGATAAGAGGAGAATATGAAATATCCCTCTTCTTATCATGATAAGAATAGGATACTTAATATAATAATGTGAAACATAAAACAACAAAGAAGAAAAAAAAAATTATACAAGCAAAATCTATTATTGTTTAAAGGATTGCATGGTATTGTAGATAGTTCTGAAAAAAACTTTGTCGGTTGAGAAAGTCGTGACGTTTCCAATGAGATGCTTCAATCGTCTGTCGATGTTTCGATTCAGTTGCTGCAATCGTATTCTCCTGAAGACGACTAAAGCAACTCAATCAAAATGCCAAAAATTTCTCAACAAACACAGCTCTTTTCATATAAAATCTATTATAACATAATAATAACATTATATTTATTATTATTATTATTATTTTTACTAACCTCACCAACATTCACATTCCCAACATATTTCAGTCGATAGATAGTGCTGTAAGATAAAATATTTTATAAATAATATATCAACTTATTCTCTAGTGTTTAGAAAAATGTATTTCTGCCTTGGGATAACCAACATAATTACATTTTGGTGGACTAATAATAAGTAATAATAATCAGTAATAAGGCCAAGCTGGTGTCTCTATTTTGGTGATTCCATTTGGGGACTGTATAATAAATATAAACAGACAGATCAAATAATAACAAAATACATATAAACTAGCCCCTTGCAAACTTGCCGCATACAAAGTCCCCCACTGACAAATAAAAAAAAACATGACGAAGTGACATTAACAGTTAATTATGCCCCTGAAAATGGTTATTATATACAAATTGGAACATTGGAACAATTACAATTCAAACGGTTCTTGACAGAAGCAAATACCATCAATTGAGATTTACATCCACATGGTATACCGAAAGTCTATAATTAATTTTTATTAAACAAAAAACATTTTTAACATTATTTAATTAGGAGGTTGGGGGGGGGGTTCAAATCATTCCAGTTAAGAGATACTTTTTTTATACCTTTTTTTAGCGAAATTATTTTTCAAAAAGATCGTCAGAGGAGGGCGGAAAAAAAAATATAAATAAAATTTTGTTTTCTTATTTAGCACCTAGTTTTGCCAAAAACATCCAGATGGAAGAGAAAATAAATATATTTTATTGGTGAATGTAAACAATTTAGTAATGGGATGGTTAAATGTTTTCAATTTATATAATTTAGAAGAACTATACATATCTTATTTTTGGAAATATCAAGGCAGCAGCGGCCATAATAAAAATAAAGAAAAACTATTATTTATTTCTGAAATTTTCAATTTTTTCATGGTGGCGGGTGTGCTAATCGGCCAAAAATAAAATGTTATTTCCATTCGAAATCATCATTATTGGTGGGCGGCAGGTTACCTAAACAATGTATAAAAACATTCTCGCCTTAAGACTTGCATATCATTGAACTCGGATTCAACATGTTCAATTTTTCATGATTGACAATACTCTGCCCAGACCATTAAGTTTCATGTCATAAACACTTTGTGGTTTGCTCATGTTAATATGGGTGAAATATGACATCATCACGCCCAAATATGGCCAAATCAGACTTTTCTTTTAAGAAAATTTGAAGGGAAGAGTAATAGCTATTATGATATTGATGATATTAAGTGTTTTGTCATCATGAAAGCTATTACGAAAATTGTCAATTAAAATGATGACTGGGGTTATGAGTTTTACAGAGATGATAGGATAATAGTCATGCTGCATTTTTCTCTGTCCGCAGAAATAGTCCATAGAACCCGAGTTTTTGAAAAAACTCGGGTAATAATTCTTGCTGGTTTGTTGAAGAGCTTTGCATTCTTAAATTTATTTATTGCCACTGAAGCCCATGAGATTACATTTAGAAGTGAGTGACTGTAATGGGTGGCATGTTTGCATTGTGATGGTTATAATGTCACCAGCCAGCCGTTTTGAGGACTCTCTTGTTAATTCCCAATGGACATTCTTAGAACTAATTCCTGATGATGACATAATTAATGTCGAAATATTGAATCCCAACACGATGGCGTGTATTTCAATTAAGTTAAGTTTATGGAGCTGCTGACAGCTCCCTCTGGACCAATTGACAGCTCACTCTCAAAGGTCGTGTTTATATTACACACTTGCTAGAAACACGGATCTGCCGTTACGTAACGTATTTCATTGCCCACGGCCGATCCGTGTTAGGTTTACGTTCATACATGTAATCTGAACACGGATTAGAAAGGAAGTGTTAGTAGCTCGCGAAAGGCCTTGTGGGACAGAAGGTCCAAGTCAGCATGACATTTGTTTACAAAGTTTAATAATTTCGTCCGAACCAAGCCAAGTTAAGAAATGAGTTGGTACAGGGCAAAACATTGTATTGGATAGAAAAAAAATCCATGGGAGGTAAATAAACTATAGTTAGCACCCCGCGTCTCACGATAAATAGGCGGCTAATGGGGCAGATCAGAAGATTGTTGGTGCTAAAAAGATGTATTATTGTTTGTTCTAAGGATTAATTAAAAGATTAGTGTTTATAAAACAAAAGCACTGAAACGGCCCTGTTGGTGAGAATCAAATGAAGAAGTGAAGGTAGGCCTAGTATAGGGTATACTCTAGGTAGACTGGCAGTACTCCGGCACATATCACGATGATTTCGGCGGATAAGAAAGCCTCGGAAAAGACTCTTTTCGTGAAAGGTATATATTATGCCTTCTCAGCAGTAAATTAAGATATAAAATTATTGCTTAATAACGGCCTTATTATCAATAATTATTTTCTTATATCATTCTGGTTGTAGGCCTATTATAAAGCCCATCCCATCTTGTTAGCGCCTGTCAACAGCAAGAAAGCTATTGAATTACCACCAACTGTTTCAAGAGAGGTCAAACTTATGCCTGGAGGCTACAAGTTGGTACTTCCAACACAGCAAGTTTGGCGAGTTCGCCAAGTAGCCTTTTGTCCAGATGGCAGATCAGAGAAGCCGTGTTCGTCAATCCGCGTTCAGAGGTAATATAAACGGGCCTATAGAGATGAACTATGCCTTGATGTTGAGTAAAAGAAAAATATTTTTTTTTATGTTTACTCTATTTGTGTCTGCCTGACATTGTGATTTATTCAGAAATAGAACAAAAATATTGTTGCTATGTTTAAAGTCAGGCTCTGGAGGGAAACAAATTTTATTGATATGTTGCACAACTAATGTTTTCTAAGACACAAAAAGCATATTTGACTAAAAGCGGTTAATGAGATACAGATTTTTGAATATTTGAAAAATGGGGGGAAAAAAGATGAACAAAATGGGTGGTTACACCCATTCCCCTTTCCTAGTTTTTAAATCATTCAAAAATATAACTATAAAAAAATTTTAAAAAACTACGCAACTATATGACTTTTCTATATTACCTTCCATCACTGGCAAGCTCTGGAGGCTGAGCCCCATTCCCTAAGGATTCTGGATGTTGAGATCCGGGAAGACGGTCCTGAGGCACCTCAAACTCTGGCATCTCCTCCTTTATA